AAGTGGCTGCTGTTGTGGCTGAGCCTACTGATGCTGGGTACAGCAAAAGCTCCCTTCCCAGCAGCTCTCCAGTTCAGGTATCTATTGGGTGTTGTTTTTTCACATATTCAAAGCTGATATTATACCTTCTTCTAAGTGAGGCAGGGCTCAGCCTCACCTCGAGCAGTGGGTGCATGGAAGAAAGCCTTAAAACTATTAGAGAGCATCCAAAGAAGGGCTGCAACGATGAGGAAGGGTCTGGAGAGTGAAGTGTGTGCTCGTGCAGCAAGGCAAAACCACCGCTCCTTTCTAGTGGCTGAGGAGAAACAGGCAAGGAGCTGTATTGATCAGACCTGCAGAGAAAAGAAAAGAGAAGCACAGTTTGCAATGTGGAGCACTGAAAACCCTGGAAGAAACTACTGAGTTTTAATTGTACAAACCCACATGGCTGATGAGAAATTCAGCGGTAGTTCTTCTACTTATTTAGAATTCTAGAGTCAGCACTTTGGCATGGCCTTTCCCCCTAGAAATGCCTCACTAGAAGTATGCTGTGTTGGATATCTGCTTTTTCAGAGTCCTCCTGGAAACAGCACTCCTGTATGAAAAGCTTAATTTGGAGTCAAGGGACAAAAGGATTCCCTTGGAATCGCATCATGTTAGGTGACAGAGGACTAAGGGGATATGCTAAGTCTTCTGTAAAAACATTCTGGGAGAACTCTGGCATGAATTTCCACTTGGTTGTGAATTCCTCTCCAGTAATTTTGCCAGTATTCAGGTTTTCAGGTCCCTCAATGTCATTCCCATTAGTTACGGTCATGGCTGTGATTCCATAATGCTGTGCAGTTTGCTTGCAATTACTGCAATGAACAACTGAGACAAGGATTAACTCAGAATAGACAGTCCCAGACAAACACCCACACAGAAAACTGCTTTTTTAGGTGATAATAAAGAGGAAAGGGTTGGCCAGTTAGCTGTGTAACTTTTCAAGCCAGCATTTACAAGTTAGTACACATTGATTTGATTTATAATAATTTGAAAACCTGTGAGGTCTAAAATACATTTGGGGTGATGCATTTGCTTGGTCTACAAGAGAGATCCAGGGTGTAATGCATACGGATGGTCAGCTGGGTTTGTTCTGTCAACACTGATCTTGGGTTTTAAGGTTTGCTCAGTGTTGCTTGGGTCCTCTGACTTACGTGCAGGTTTTTTCCTGCTGCTTGCTTCCACTGACACAGGAAATCAAAGGGGTTTGGTCATTCTTAGCAGGAAATATTTGATCCAATCCCAGTTTTTTCTTTATCTTCTTATTTATTTAGAGATATCAGGAAGAAATAAAAATCCCTTACCAGTTTGCATGCAACTTGTTATGTGCATTTCTATTCCTACCATTTGATATTTACAGGTGGTAAAGACCAGAATTTGCCACTGTGATCATCTGCATCAAGCTTCTGTCTGGGCTAAGAGATTTGTAAGAAAGAAACACTGAGGGCTGATATAACAACCCCCTGTGATGGATCTTGTCAGCAGGTAAGTTTGCTAGGCTTATTACCTCACTGATAAACATCACCACTCTGCTTTATCTAAGTTTGTGCTGTAGCTTCCGGTGCTGAGGTTTCATTCTGCTTTTTATCTGCTGAATTAGGAACCATCTTGAATTGAGTGTTTCCTCAGAGCATTACTTATGACTGCATGTTGAACTTAGAGGTTAGTAATTCAGTTCCCTATGTGCATAAGCAAAGTTACCGAAGCTTGGTTTCTAAATAGACCCTCTCAGCTTCAGCCGTAATGTTCTGTACTGCTGCTTTTCAATAATCTGGCTATTCTGTGCCTGGAGAGGGAGTGGTACTCTGCTTTGCTGAATGAGCCAAGCATACAAGCACAGCATAGGAATCCTTCCTCTGCCTGACTTCAGGCCCAAGATGCTGATCTGGAACTGAATCATGCTTTATACCCAGAGAGGACAACCCCAGCCTGCTACTGTCCTCTGTGGAACAGAGCGTGCCATGGGCCTTCCCAATGGCTGATGTCAAAATAAAAAGTGCAGTCAAAATAAAATCCTTGCTCCGAGCTAATGATTGCCCAGAGCCCCATCTTGCCCATGTGAGGGGACTGACTGACAGGTGCACCCCTTTCATCTTTGACTTTTTCAACCCAACTTGCAGGATCTGGCCAAACTTTTCATTTGGCACTAGCACAGTCAAAGCAAGAAAGTTTGTGTCTGGGAAGAGTTGGTTGAAGTCTGAATGTAGAGAATATTAAGTCCAGGCGTGGAGAATTTTTTTTAAAGAGCAGGAATTTCATGGAAATAAAAACAGTCTAGTCCGTTAAGTTCCTCTCGTGGACTTTTATGAGGACAATTATTAATACTGTTGAAAATTATACTCATGAAACCTGTTAATGTGAGCTGTGCTGGCTGCTGCCAGAACAACTGCGCCTTTTACGGCTCATTCGGAGACAGAAATATTCAACAAAGTAGCTTACAGGGTGCAAAGGTTTGCGTGGTGCAGGCTTAGACTAACTTAACATATGCCCTCTGTAGCTTTGGTATTGTCCACAGCCTAATGCCCATAATAAAAGAGAGAAAAATTGGACCCCAAGTGGCAAGAATGGTAAGCCCTGGGAATTCTCCTAATCAGAGATATTCAGCTATTTTTAGTTTATAATGTTTGGTCAAATAGCAACAATGATTTTTCTTCTTTTTTGCAACTCAGCTGCACGGTATGTTGGAGGGGGTCTAGATGGCCTGTGACCTTGCCTTTATCTGTCGGTCTGTCACCACCGGTCTTCAAAGCACAGCTTAAAGGATCTGAGGCTTCTGTGTGGCCTTGATGTGATCTGCTTTCCTGGTAAAGTTTTTCATTAGTGGGTGCTTTTTTAAGCAGGCTGGAGCTTTCTTGGCTTGCACTGTGGGTTACTGCTGTCTCTGAGGCTCTCCCGACCCCACAACCAGGTTTAATAACTCTGTGCAGGCTGCATTTGCAAGCTTTGTATGTGTGGTGGATGCTGCTTCTGCATGGCAGATACTGCTTCCTGTCCCGTTGAACGGGCTCTTTCTTCTCTCCTCTTGTCTCCAATATATCCACCAAAGACTCCTCAAAAGAGCAATTATTTTTGAAGTACAGTTGGTTAGATCCAATGACTGAGCAATGCAGCCATCGCTGTACACAGTGCTTACCCACCTGTTCGTGGTACTGCCCTTCCTTTCTACTGCTGCTGTTTCAGTCGTGCATTTCTTTTCCTCTAAATCTTGAGAGAAAGAACAAACCTAACAAAAGAGCAGTCATTTTGCTTCAGACCAGTGGTCTGGGTAGCCCAGTATCCTGTCTTTAACAGTTGCCAGCAGCACATGCTTGGGATATAGTGAAAAACAGGACAAGTATGCATGATAATTCAGTGTAGTCTGCCAGCAACACACAGTTCAGGAATTTCTTAAGCCAGAGCTCTTGTCTCTGTATTTAATAAAACCTATCAAGGTTTTCTTTTATGGATTTGTTCAGAGGCTTTTCCTAGCACAATTAACTTCCCTGCTGTCTTTTATATTTAACAAAGGACAAAAACCTGTTCTGGGAACGTGTGGTTTTTTTGCATGAGCCCTTCATTGGCTTTTTATAGATACCTGGAAGCAACTGATGGTGAGGCTGAAGTACCTGTCGCAGGCAACAGGAGAGAACTATTTGCTATATACATGTCTAGGTGCCCTGTGTAAAATGGCTGGTAGGGCTAAGTGTAAAAAACAGAACAGAGATGTGATTGGATGTGGGTGATGGCGACCCTTCACTGACGAGGCAGATGGGACTGGTTAGTTACTGCAGTTAGAAGGAACCACGCTATTCCACAGTGTGTTCCTGCAAAAAGACTTTTCCATTTTGGTTTTACTCACTCTGATCTTGCTGCAGCACAAGGATGGACAACCAGTCCTGAGTATTTTGTCCATCAATAAACACGTGGGACAGCAGGGACTGACTGACTGGTGTTCCTGCTCAGCACGTTCCCCAGGAAATAGGTTTCAGCTTCTTCACTTAACACTGTGTTCAGTCTCAGCCAGCTGAGTATCCCCTGGAGCACTTCTGGAGAAGTTCCGACTGGTTATTGTGCCTGGTGTGAGGAGACAGCCCCTACCTGTGAAAGAAAAATGCTGGGCCCCTCTTTATTGCAAACCAAACCATCGACACACAACAGCTCTTCTTCCTCACTTGCAGCAGACGGGTATGACAAAAACTAACTGTAAATCCAAGGCATGGAAAGACAGACACCCCTAAAATGTTCTCTTTGCTTTAGTGAGGTTTGTGTGAGGGGTAGGCCGGAGCAATTACCAGCATGCAAGAAGATGCCTGCTATATTCATTGGAGTGTGTTTCTTTACTACGTGTCAATACAAACATAGAGCCATTTTTCAGAGTTTGCCGATGGCTATAATTGAAAAGGCACGAATTGCCCTCAAGAGATTCCCCATTGCTCTGCGTTATTATCTGCTGGATGGCAGCTCTATAGGCCATGTATCATTTTTTCCAAATAACCAGTTAATTACTAAATAAAACAACCCAGCTTTCAAGCTGATTAGCCTAGATTAATGACCAGCAGCACGTTTCACTCTCCTCAACAATTTATCATGGAAAAGAACTACGTCTTTAATGATTTAGGTACCTGGTCTATTGAGGCTTGCTCCAATCTGTGCAGCCTCCAATTTGATTTAATTGCTCTTCTTAGTTTGTGACCTGGAAAAAACCAAGTGACAGCTCCCATTAGTGAAGCCCAGCTTGCAACTCGCTTGCAGTGTTACAAAGGCTCGCTGGGTGTCTTTCTATGCTGACTTCATTAAGAAGATATATAGAGGTCAAGTGTCACTTTGGCACAGAGCGAGTACCACGCTGTTTATCAGCTGAAACAGGTTGAATCAACCTATGTATTTTATCTAAGTATACATTCATTCTTTTTTTTTTTTTTTTTTAATTGAATGGTTTTTAAATGATGTTTTCAGAAGTTTCTTATTTTCTTTAATATTGAATTTACAGACTGGTCCTAAAGGCATTAACTGCAGTTCATTTATTGCTACTTTGGCACGAAAACTTTGGCATTGCACTCCTCTACAGTTATTCAATAAAAGATCTTTTGTTATGAGGACCTATTCACGGCCCTTGAGTTTGCTTCCTAATTAATATTAGACTTCCTCACAGTTGTGCTCTGGAGTACAAATGCTCACTTCCCAAGGATGTTGCTGCAAAGGCACACTGAATGTGTCTTTAAGTGCATCCTGAATTACTGACTTATTATTGCGTAAATCCCTGAAGTCTTCACTTAGCCAAAATTTCCTCTTAAGACAATGGATCTATGGGAGTTGTCTCATCATTAACTGAACTCCAGCAGTTGTCTGGCACTCAGTGAACTAAGTCATGGTCACTGCCCCTGAGAGTGAACCATCTACATGAGAGACAAAGACTAAACGAGGCTGAGAAGATAATGAGGCAGCATGAGCTGGGCTCCTCGCCTCAGCACTGCATTTTGTTCTCGAGGTGTTTGTGAAGGGAGAGGGGGACCTCTGGAACAACACCGGTTGCTGTACTGGCATTAAAGGCATATTTTGGCACGCACTGTTGCTGACCGGCTCCTTCGTCGTGCTTTTCAGCAGAGAGGCCGAGACAGCAGAAATCCAGCTCTGCCGCAAGGCACAGCAGCCACCGTGCGAATGGCTGTGGGTCACGTGACCCTGCCCTGCCTGCCTGCTGCTGACCCGCAGGAGCCACGAGGAGGAGGCAGGACGGAGCAGGAGCTGTCATTTGCACCTAGGAAAAGCAAGGTGGGAAGTGTTCCGTGCTTTCGCAGGTCAATTGTTACCTTGCTGCGGGGTGTAGCTTTCATGCTGTCACTGCTGGAGTGGGAGCTCATCCCCACGCAGAAACCCCTTGCAAAGAAATGCATATTCTGTTTTGTGTAGTCCTTCCCTCTATTCCCAGAGAAGAAATGTCCCTGCAGTGTGACGCAGTGCAGAGACACACAGGTCTGTTCCCATAGACAGCCCTTGCCCTCGGGGTGTTGGTGCAGGAACCTCCAGCAGGCTCTGCTCCCGAGGGCTGTGCACGGGAATGGGATGGGTGCCTTGGGGTGAGATGCCTGCAGGGCATGGCTGCTCTTGGTGGGCCTGACACGCAATCCCAGGGCTTCTCACCATACCCTCTGCCCTCTCCCTGTCCCTCCACCTCCTGAACTATTTGGTGTAAGAATCCAGCTGTGAGTGAATGCAGGCAGGTGTAAAGCCTGGTCCTAATCCCCTGGCTGTGTACCCGGGTTCCTGTGGTATACTTTGAACATGTGCTTCAGATCATTGTTTCAGTAGGTGAGACCTGCTTCTCATCTGTGTGAGCCGGTGTCTTATACGTGCTTTGTGGGTTTTCCTAAAGCAGCCTAAAATCTCTTAATCCTCCCTTTCTGTCTCGTATCTCTTGCTGATTGCAATTCTGAGCCCTGGGGCCCAGTGATGGCTCCTTTCTGTCACGAGAGAGGGGTTTGGGTTTTTTGGTTTTTTGTTGTTGTTGTTGTTTTGACGGTGAATGCAGCTGCTGCCAGCTGGAAGAGGGATGTGTGACAGAGGCAGCACGGGTCCCAGCTGCTGGGGTGGGCGGCATTTGGGTGAGGTCTGACACAGGCTAGAGCTGCCTCTGTGGCCTGCAAGTAGCCATTAGTGCTGAGCAGCACAGCACTCTCGAGGGGGAAAGAGGAGAAGGGGAGGTTTCTCCTGTTTCAGATCCTCTCCTCTTACTAATGGGGACGGGTCATGACCACAGGAATAAGGCACGAGGTGTTGATTCATTGAGCTTTTTCTTGTAATGCTGTAGATCTTCATTAATGTTCCCAATTGTGCTTTCTGCTGTTCCCAGTGGGGCCACTTAATGACGTAAAGAGCTTAATAAGGAGAAGCTGCGGTCGCAGCTGAGGGGAAGGGTCTGGAGTACTGCTGCCAAGGGCTGGGCTGTTTATCATATGTAGCATCAGCCTCTAAATATTTCCTACCACTGGGACTGAGAGAATCACTTTGCTGAGGTTATCCTGTAAATCTGGCAGGGCAGAAATTGAGACCAAGGAGCGACCGTACTGTGCTGTGAAAGTATCTGGCAGGAATCTGGAGAGGGCTGTTTGTTGTTATGAGCTGTGATACACGTTGTCTGTGGATATGAAGTCTTAGATGGAATGCAGTTGGAGTTTCTCCTAGAATTTTCTTTTTTTCCATGTCCCTTTCTCATTCCTGAGGGATCCTGGAGCAAGGAACTTATTGGTACTGATCCCAGTGTAATTGAGCTATGGGAGCCCAGAGCCCTGGAAAGCATGGAAGAGTGAGGAGAGAGGGGAATCTGTTGAGTGTGAGAGCTGTGTTCCCTAGAGAAGGACAGATGGAGGAGGCTAGAACCCAGGAGAATAAGCAGGCATGCAGGCATAGGCAAGAGTCTTCTGGCAGTTCATTAAATGGCAGATACTGGGGCTGACACTGGAACCTGAGAGTCACACTGGTGGTGCGTTTGGGTGCAGGATATGCCTGGGGCTTGACTTACAGGTGTTTTGGTGTCTTTAGATGTGCTTTTTAGCTATATGAATGTGTCATTATCCTCAGACGGAGATCTCTACATGTGACTGTCCTGCAGTAACTGCAGTTGCTTTGCTTTGAAACTCCTCATGCAAGTTTACAAGGGATGAAAAGCTCTATCTGTAGCAGTGCAGAGTCACTTGCTCTGTGTCTGTTGGAAAAGCATTTTTGCTTTCCAGCTAGAGCTTGGACAGGCAGGGCAAGCTCAGGCAGGTTAGCACAGCTCAGACCTGGAGGTGTTACTTTAGCAAAAAGCCTCTTTGTGAGAGCACAGCTCCAGTGCATGCTTCAGGCTCTTTCCTCTAGATGTCCACCCAAGAATTACTCTATCAGAGCTTGCTGAGTGTTCCCCATCATTCAGGATGCTTTCACTAGCATACTGGTGTGTAGGTGGACAAGTTGCAGCCAGGGCAGCAGTAAGACACTGAGCGCTCCGGCTTGTTAAGCGTAGCTACATGCCGAGCTCTCATAACTAGTGTGAATTGATGTTCAGCATTCAGTGCAGAGCACATGTTAATGGAGGGTCATCGGAGGCTGCTCTGCAGCATAATTATGGAACTATTTTGAGCTTTCTTCTTTGGTTTTAATGCAGATCAGTGCTGTAAATTGTCAAGAATCATGAAGTGAAGGTGTCTGTGAGGCATCTAGACAAGCTGCCTTCCAGAAATGATTCTTGCCTACTGAACTTAGAAATTCAGCACCTGAGATTTCGATTTCCAAGTGCTTGGAATGCTTTCCCAGCACTGAAAGCTTTACCAGATTCCAAAGGCTGGGTCATGGTACTAGCATAAAAGCATCCTCCTCCCTGTTTAACCTCTGTCCGGGCTCAGCACATAGAGCAGTGCCCAGCCAGCCAGCTGTGCTGCCCCGTGTCTTCTAGGAATAACCCTGCAATGCAGAGAGTGAGAAGGATTGCTGCACTTCTGCCAGCTGAGGAGTTCCAGGGAAAAAGAGGGACTGCCAAAGTCAGGTGTGCAGGGGCTCTGTGCTTCACTGCTGGCTCCTGTATGCAGCACAAGGGCAGGCAGCTCAGCCTGCACATCGGGCTGCAGTCAGCAAGTCAGCTGGACTCCATTCTCAGGACAGAGTTATAAATGGGGGTTCTGGTTTCTTGTACTATCTGCCTCTTATTAATTCAGTCCCTGGAGTGATAGCTGTTGTGGCTCTTCTCATCTCCATTTTTTTGTTCACAGCCTGACTGTGTGAGTAATATACCCAGGAATATTCCTTCTGTTTCCAACTGAGTGTCCAGGTGTCTGCAGAAACTCCTGCTGTTGCACCCTATGCACATGGTTATCAATTTTGTCTTTCTCCAATCCTTGTAACCATCTGATTCTCTTGTCTTCTGTCTCATCCGAGTCTCTTTCCCTCTCAACAGTGCTCCAAAACTTCTGTCCCTGTCCTAATGTTTCATTAGGATCACCCTCCACACTGAGGTTATCAGTGATAACACTGAAGAAAGATGTGCCTTAGTTCTATTGATGAGGTGCTCCGTTAATTCCCTATCTCAGCATCACACTGACCTTCATCCCCTCTGGTCACTTGCAGCCAACTCCTTTTCGTACCCACCTGCAACTCTTACACCAGTCCTGTCTTCTCCAGTTCAGCAAGAACACTTCCATTTGGTGTAGTATGGAGGTACTGTAGCATACATAGAAAAACCTCATGCTCACCTACCTTGACAGAAAAAGGTGATTTGGCACCAACTGCTTTGGGCAAATTATGTAATATTATGTTTTCATATTCAGGGATTTTCTTAGATTGTTCTCTGAGGAGATCAGATCTCTCTCCTTGAATGCTTTGGGGAAGAGTTTCACAGGAGATGTACCAATGCTTGCAGAATGACCATTTCTTTTTCGCTTTGTATCTTGTTCCTGCATGCTTCATTCCATGCTCCGTGTGCTGTGATGGAAGAGACCTGCCAGCCAGTCCTCCTGCATTTGCCCTAAAACATATCTATACCATTCAAGCCAAACAAACGACACAAACTGCAGCTGTCCAGATTATCTTCCCCTTTGCTCTTGAACTTTACTGCATGAGTACAGAAATGTTGTGACAGGGCAGATGGAGTTGCTGCTGCCTTTGCAATCAATGAAACTCACATGAAGTCTGCATTGGCTGATTTTCCAGAATGATGCTCTATCCTGTGCTTGGTTCCATTATCTATCCAATCTCTTCTCTCAGGCTTACGTCTCTGTATTCAAAAACTGGGGCACTGTCCTTCACTAGTTTGAGGCATACCTCGATTCTCAGTTCCTACTGAGAACTACTGCTGTACACTACAGTGTACAGCAATCAGCACTCTTGATTTAAAGAGTTAAGGGATATTTTGCAAGATTTACTTTAATATCCTCTATTCTACACAGCACTCATTGCAATGATTCTACTTTTTTCCTGCAGCTTTTGCTGACAGCTTTCTTTGCATCTCTCACCTTTCTTTTCCCCAATACTTAAAAGCTTTATTTAATTTCAGTAACTTTTTTTGGAGGAGAAAGAGGTGATTTGTGATTCATGAAAACTGGAACACTTATCTGTGCTTTTCCTCCTTGTTTTCAGGTGCAGCGTCCAGATATCTCTTGCGCCCTGCGCTTTGCTGTGTGTGTAACGGCAGCAGAACAGCTCTCCCTGCCCAGAGGCTTCTCTTTGCTAGGGCAGCCATAAATTTTTGGTGGTGACGTTGCTATAGCGATGGTGTCCGATCTCTCTCTGTTAATATTGCCCTTTTGGAAGGACCCTGAATAGGCACTGAGGTAGGTAAATGTATGCGGTGACACCGAGCGGGTGATTCTATTCTGACAGATTCCTGCACCGTTTGTTTCCAGGCTTGTCTGAGGGCCGGGACGCGGTGTTGGGCTTTTTGTCCCACGTGCTGCCCTCGCGGGGACGGAGTTAATGGAAGCCTTGTTCGGAGCCGCTGGGGCAGAAATTTTTCTGCTGAAGGAGACAAAAGCGGGACGGGCCACCTCAGAGGTTGCTTTGGGAAGGCCGTCTCTTGTGGGCTCTCAAAGGAAATGGGAGATAACACTCAGCCCAGGAGACTCATCCCGTGTTTTCCGGCACCCTCCTACCCGCCCCACCGCCTTGCTGTTGCACATCTGCCTCCTACAGCATCACAGTGCATGACCGGGTCCCCTCTGTGCTTCTAACCAGGCTCTTTGCTGTAACGTTTTACCCAGCCCTGCTTCTTGTAGCCCTTGGAGCTGGGAAAGCAATAACAGCCACGTGTGGTAGAGCAGCAGAACAGCCCCAGCAGACAGAGACAGGTTGTTCTCCTGTGGAAGACCTCCAAGGCAGAGATTTAAACCTGCAGTTATGCCGGTAGTGCTGAATGTCTGCTCTCTGGGGACAGCAACATTTCATCCAAAGGGAAATGCAGTCAGCATAAATTTATCAGTGCGGGCTCTTTAGAAGTGCTTCATCACAATAAAGTATGGCCTTTCGATTCTACCAATTTCTAAAACAGGAAATAATTTCTAATGAATAAATTATTGGATTTAGCCTATTTCTGCTCAGTAAGGGTTCTAGTTTTTCAGGGGTACTGTGTAAATCTGGGGGGTTGTTTGCTAGAGTGCACAGAAGGGAGAGTGTTTTGTGGCGAGTGGAACGTGGAATAACTTTTTTTCCAGGTTTTCCTAATTAGTCGTATCAGTCACCCTTATTGCTGTGCTTCTGACTAGGGCTGAATGTGTCGTGAGGTACAAATAACTGGATCCACCCAGTTGGGTGTTAGCATTTTGGGCATTATATCAGTTGTAAGTATTGATGCAGAGATTATTAATCAAAAGCCATCCATGGGCTCTGATCAGTAGAAGACCACAGGCCACCGGCTTTTCTCTTTTTTCTTCTTTTCGAGGAGCCTCTTTTGTTTGTTTGTTTATTTTTTAATTTCCTCCTTAAGCTTTCCTCTCATCCAAATCCTTTTCAGTGCTGCTCTTTTTTTTCAGAGAGAGGAGCCATTTCTCAGCAGCACATAACTTGTATTCACCCAAGAAGTGAGGGTTACCTCAGTTGGACAGGCAGGATGCTCAAGTGGTGGCTGTGCTTTATGAAATGCTCTGAGCTGTGTCAGGAAGAACATGCTCTGGAGCTGTAAAACACGGCTCTTGCTAGGATGTTATCTGGGGAAAGCAAGACCCCTCCTGTTGTTGATATAAACCTATCAGGAGCGAACTGGAAAATAGAAAGAGAGAAGTGCATCTTCTTATGTATTTGAAGTGGCTGCTGATACAGAGTGGGAAACGAAGCCATCTTGAGTGTCAGCTAATCTCCGCTGGACCGTGTTTTGTCAGCTGGATGCTGGTTTGGCAAACACTTGGGTCTGCGACATGGCACGTATTCTTGGGAGCTGTGCCATTGAACGCAGCGACACTTCTCACGTGCGGATGCTTTAGTGGGATGGAGACCCTAATCCAAGGGATTTTGTCAGGGTTAAATAAGGACTTTCCCCGAGCCTAGTGTTAGGTGCCTACCTTAGTGGGCAAGGGCATTCTTCTTATCTTTAGCCTTCGCTGATGTGAGAGTGCTGTTGGTTTACTTGCTCCTTTTGGTTTTGTGAAAGGGTTCTTTCTCTCTAAATACACATTCATAACTTCCCTTTGCTCTCCTGGGACTGGTGGCCCACAGAAGCCTTCGGGGCCTTGTTTCTGCTGCAAAAGGAAAGATTCTTTTGTCATGCAGAATTGGAGTTAAAACTCCAAACACAGATCATTTACAACCATATAGCTAAGAAAGAAACTGCTCTCAATAGCACACAGCAACACTGTCAGCCCCTGTAAATAATCCCCTACACCCTACAGCACTCTTACCAAATAAGTCTGCCTGAATGAGTTGGGATGCTGTGCTTTATGGATGCCACTGCCCATTCTACAGCCTGGACGTTTTTTAAAAAACCCAGAAACCTTCTGATATAATACTGCCATTTAAGAGAAATCAGAACTGAAAAGCAGCTGTCAAACTTTAATTTCCTGGCTAATGAATGGCCACGATTCCATTCTTCAATGATTCTTGACCCTAGAAACAAAATGTATTAGCACTCTCAGATTTTGCACAGTAGTGCTAAATGGGGCATGTAATGTACTAATTTAGTGCCTCTTTAGCATAATCACAACCTACGTGCACAGCTACATTTCCTTGGCAGGCAGCTTTCCTAAGACCTGCAAAGAACTTACGTAGGACATTTCACCCTATTATTCATTTCACTGATGCTTAGGAATCAATATATGTGATTTTTTTTCCCTGTCTTGTCCTCCACAAAAAAGCATGAAATCATCCATTGATCTTCCTGGGGTGATTAAAATGCCAAGAATTCTGTGCTTTTCTCTGCCTGCAATGGGGAGCTGTGTTTTCGCTCTGCGTCCAACCTTTGAGTCTAAAAGCTTACAAAAAGGTTGAGTTGGTGTATAAATAGTACTTTCCAGAAGAAATACAGGGTCTGTGGGAGCCAAAGGCTGTGTTTAGCTCAGTGGTTGGAACAAGTCATACATGATCAATGTTCCTGGTAAGCACCTGTGACCCTGTGGCATGCCTCATTCAACAGCTGCTTCCAATTGTTTGTGATATTTTTATTTTCCATTGTTTCTCATTGTCACCTTTACCCACAGAATGCAGGATGGCTGAGGTCAGGGACATTTCTGCAGGTTGTCAGTTCCAACTCTGCCCAAAGCTGTGTCAGGCAGGGCATGTTGCCCGGTACATTTGGTTTTGACTATCTATAAAATAGAAATTCTTTGGGCAACTTGTTCTGGTGTCTGGGCACAGTCTCAATTAATTAATTAATAAGTAAAAGCAAAACCACCACATTTTCTTGTGTTTAAGCGCAACCTGTGTTTCAGTTTGTGCAAGTGCCTCTTGTACTTTCTCTGGGCATCACTGAAAAAAAGTCAGTTTTCTTTACAGCCTTCCATCAGATATTTATACACACTGAGCCTTCTCTTTTCCTCTCTCAGCCTCTGAAAGTGCCTGAAAGTTCAGACTAACCAGAGAGCAGCTTTGACCGTGAAATAGCAAATTTGAGTTTTCCTTTGCGCAGCTCTAGCAAGGTTTTGCTCTGCTCTGTCATCTTCCCTCTATAAATTAGTGCAAATGAGGGGACATTTCCAGTGCACTTTCAGAGGACTGCAATCCAGATGGAGACACAAAAAGAGAGATCCTGAATACGTTACTGCAATGCCACCCCAGGATCTCTGTGGCGGTTTGCCTGTTCCTGCCTGGTTTACACAGATGTACAGGGGATGTCTGCCCTGATTCTGTTACAGAGGCAGGCTCTCCACTTCCACAATGCATTTCAGCTACTTTTTATTTACTACTTCAGCATTTACTGGGTCTGAATGGTACTGCAGCCTCTGTGAGGAGTTCTGCTTATCTATGTGATGTACAGTGAGCAGAGAGCTGTGTGTGCCGTGCTCCTACTTGGGATCTGTCATGGAATCAATCTCTTTATGCGTGTGCAGCTCAGACAGAACTGCACACAGCACTGTGGGGGTTTGACACAAACTGTCTGGGAGAAGGCATCTCCCCAGCAGACCTACCTTGTGCTGGAAACAGGCTGTCTTTGTGGTTACAGGAGAAGGTGTGAAGCTCCACACCTCCTTCTGCTCTTTGAACGTCTCAGCGCTGCTGGAGGTGCTCAGCCAATTAGTGCAGCCAGTCCCTTTCTGCATGTTTTTATTTCCATGTATAGGCCGCACTATAGAGAGAAAAAGCTGGAGACATGCCAGTCTCTTTCCAGAAATTCAGGAAAAGGAAATGGGATTGTTAACTGAAATGGGCTGTGCTGGTGCCACAGTTCCTTGGGCAGGCAGTGTGTGCCGCAGCAGTGCTGCCCCAGCAGATCAGGTCTGCTGCAGCTCCTGCAGGACTGGGGTGTGCCACAACAGCTGGCATTGTAAATGTGGGACGCAGGGCTGCTTGGTTATCCAGGTGAGAACTCGGGGAACAGGCCAGGCTGCTGTATTACCCTGCACTTGTGTGTGTGACTGAGTCCTCCTGCAGCAATGCAGGTTAAGCGTCATTTGTGCTGAGGGCTCTGCGCTGTGGAGCATCTGATTGATGTAGCAATTTTTCTTTCATCTCCGGTAATAATTAACTTTAATACTTAATTACAGCCACATTTTAGACTATAAGGATGTTCTTTGTGATAGGTGCTAAATAAGTTACTATTAAAATAGTAATTAACTACAAAAAAAAATTCTTTTCCTTAGAATTGCCGGTGACGCGCGCACAACTTGCTGCTGCCCCTTACTGTGGAAGCAGAAACCTGCCACTTCCTACTGATGTCTGTTCTGCTCTGAATAGAATCAAATCTGTCTGCTGTGTTCAGAACCTGCTTTTCATACATTACTTTTTAAGATGGTTATCTTAAAATGCTATATTATCGCATCTACAGGCCTTAAAATGCGGCTGAGCCTAAGGACTCTTCGAGACAGCAGGTGTCTGTTCAGCAGGGTTGGGTTGCTGTGAGTAGGGAACCCAACTTCTCTGCAAACCTGGGAATGGGGTGGGAGGCGCAAAGCCTTGTGTGTGAGTGATGCCCAGGCCCTGGTGTTGTTTGGAGGCTGGCATGAGGCGTGCTGCCTCTTGAAAAGATGGGGAAGAAGTGCTGTAAGGTAGGCTGTCAGATGTGTCTTTTGGGGGTCACAGGTTGCAGTGTCCAAAACTGTAGATCTTAGGACCATAAGAAAGTCACAGACTATGTGTTTAAGGTCAGGTTTTCTAGGTATGCTCTGCCTCTTGTAGCTCTCTGTGTTGGATGTTTCAGTACCTTTATGAAAAGTTCTGCTCTTTAAGTAGCTGACTTAGGGTGGCCCCACCACCCTAACTCAAACTTTATTTGCCTGCCAGTATTCTCCTTACAGCAGCTAACCCAGCTGACAGTTAATGAATCTAATTCTTGCCAGAGGTGAAAAAGTGCACTGAGGTGTGGTGGACCAGGAAGGCATGCTGAATTCTCAGCCATTAGTGCAGCAAAACGCTGCCTGTGCCAGTGGCTGCAGAGTGAAGGTGGGAGCAGAGTTAGAGCAGTGCCAGGGCTGTGGGTGAGGTTTCCTGCTAGTAGCACTGACAGCAGTTTATCTGTATGAGCCTGGGCACAATCCAGGGCAGTGCTCAGAGCAGCCAGGCACTGCTGCTGGAACATGTGAGTGTTCTGCTCTATGGAAAACGATGTGTGAATGGCAGCTGAGCTGGGCAGCAGAGGCTGAACCTTTTTCTCAGTAGAGATTACTCAGTGCCACCCACAGCATCAGTGCTCACCCACAGCAATGCTGCTTCTCCTTTTTCAAAGAAAACGTGGTTTGTTTTGCACATGTTGCACGTAGTTAGCAAATCTGGTCGTGGTTTGCAGAGACTGTTTCAGCTGCCCAGCACCTGCAAGCCGCGGAGGTGCTCTGCACCCAGCCCTGGGTGGCGTATCCCACTCGTGCTCTCAGCAGCTCCGTTATTTCTTTGCGACAACAGAGGGCACCAGCGGCCCTTGCTTAGTGCAGGGTTCTGCCCTCCCGGGCTCCCCGGGACACGCAGGGCGGCTCCTACGCCTTCGGACTCGTGGGAGAAAGCAGCCCTAACACCATGCGCATCCTGCTCCTCAGGTCTGGGAAGATGTGTGCAGTGAAGCCGGTGGTTTGTTCCCACTGGGCCTGCGTGGGTGTTTGTGAAAATGTGCAAGTCTGCAAAGAGCAGTGGTTTGGATACAGCTGGCAGAGGTGCAGCGGAGCACTGCAAGTGGCTGGGAGCAGGGAGGGCTTGCACGCAGGAGAGCACTGCCAAGCATGTTCTATTCTTCCAGTGGTCATTCCGCATCTCCAGCTCAGCGGGGTTCAATCCTGCTGTCTGCACCCAAGCAGAAGCTACTAAAATGTCAGAAATCAGTTAGTCTGCAATTAAACAGTTTGGATCTGAGGCTAGGTCTGAATCTGTCCTGCATTACATCCGTTTGGCCTCACTGACAGCTGTATAGCACGTGAGAGTTGCCTGCAGGGACGACCCTGAGCTAGCTCCAAGCTATTCCTTGCCAGCTTTCCCACCAGAGCAGGGAGGAGCGCAGTGCAGACTGGCTGTTTGAACCTGAGATCCCCAACAAATCTGTCAGCCCTCAGAGCTGATAGGCAGTCCATCTAGAGGTAACCCCAGCAAAGTGCCCCAGGCTGCCCCAAGGGTGATCCAGGTATGTTTGTTCCCCATGCAGTAGGAACGGGTCTGCTCCCAGCCTGCTCTGCCACTGGTGTGCAAATCCTCTCTCCTCCCACTTACCTACTTACGTTTATCACTTCTGCAGGTGCATTCTGGTGTAGGCTGCCTGTGGAGAGATGCAGAGAAGTTCAAGCTGTATTTGTTATTCTCCTGAAGCACAGCAAAGCAGGTAAGCAGCAGGCACTGTTAGGTAGGAGACAGATCCTGACGATGTCAGGTCACAGAGCTGTACATGTGAACCATAACCTAGAGTCCATACTGGGGCCTCATCCTATTCAGTCCTGCAAATTTGATATATCTTTTTGCAGAAGGACCATTTGCATACCAGAAGGTTTACTCACATGAGCATGGGATGTTGGATGGTCTTTTTATCCGCAGCCTAGAAAAACGAAGGTCCCAAGCTTCTTCTACTGCCAGGGGACATGTGAAAGCTTTGAGCACGTGCTGCAGAGATAAGTAGAGACATATGCTTTATGCCAGGCCAAGATGTTTTTATAAAGAGCTTCTGGCCACGTCTGGTAAAACATTTAATAACTTTTCTGCCAGCAGCCAAAAGGCAGTCATATATTTAAAAGCAGCAATAAAAGTTCCTATGTGAGTCAGAGTCCTACAGAAATCCTGCTAGTGAATTTCCCCATGGTAGCCTGCAGGACTAGCTGGAAAAAAATACCACAGAATTCTACTGGTATTAAGTATTTTTTAACAAGTCCTTGGAAGTGGCATGGAATGTCTCTGCAAAGCCCCTGAAACCAGATTCCAGGCTGTGTGCAGCCTGAACAGCAATGCTGGTACTTTTTACTATAGCCACAAATCCTATTTCGCTCCCAAGGGATCACAGAGAGGCTAGTTTCAGTGTGACCTTTAAGTGGCATCTCACTGGCTTATAGTAGACTATGCATTAGTGCGTATTCCTTTAACCTGCAATCCAGTGTGCTCAAATGTCCCTACCGCAGATGGAACAAAGTGCTACCCTGACATGTGCGTGGCCTGGCCTCAACTCTCCCTCCTCCTTTCCTGCTGAGCTCTGCTCTTGTAGTGCTAATGAAGTACATCTTCTTTTCCTTTCAAAGTCCTCAGGTGATCCCTTTCGGCAATGAGACCCTGGGCTTTTTTGGAAATGAATCTCATTAAGATCCAAGGCCATGAAAGCTTCTCTGCTAATTCTTCCTGCTGCTAAAGCCTTGTCAATAGCCAGCATGCCCTGGTTTGGCTCTGCTGCAGGCAGCGGTGCTGGAGGCCCAGCCCTGAGCAGGCACTGGTATCTCAGAGCAGCTCCCTCTGACTCCTGGCACACGTGGTCAGGGATGCAGGCATTTGCTGCTCTCCTGCTTGTGCAGGAGTGATGCTAACAGAGTGAGAGGAGGGGTGATGCACGTGTGCTTTGGTACTCCTCCATCACTGTGCTGAAGTAGTGCAAGTTGCTCTCTGATCGTATTTTGCAAGTTGCTTCCACGCAGCAGTGCAGGTCTGGTTTAGATGCTGATCTTTGCAGCATGTGGTGCTGATCTGGGAGACTGCCAGAATTCCCCCCCTCACCACCCCAGGACTCTGGCCTCCCTTTCCTGTGGCCTCGTCCCAGGCAAAGACTCTACAGGGTGCTCCTGCAATGTGCCTGCTTGGTGAACAACCTGAAGGTGTCTGACCTCTGTGCAGCCGTGCCCTTGGCTGCCTGCTCTGAGCACACAGCAACACGCTATCTGGTTACCAGCCTCGGCCATCGCCTTTCCTCCTCTGGAGGATGTCCTCCTGAGTGTCAGGAGAGACTCATCCAGGAGAGTGTTTGACAGGGAAATTTAATACCAGCCTGTTACAACTTGTTGCAGGTTTGGGTAACACGTGGAGCAAACACTCTCTACAGCGGCACGCTTCTCTCCTTGGAAGCCCTGGAGAACCCTTCTGGTCTCAGCTTGCTGTCCCAATTTGTCATTCCCAGAGGCTGGGGGAGGAACTGGGTGTGAGCAGCAGATCCCATGGCAGCACACTGCCTGCATGCAGCATGCCTTGGGGTCACTCCCACGAGGATAGCTGCAGTGCCCTGAGCGGCTGCAACCAATTCATGTCAGCACAGATTTACTCACTGTGGGTGTGATATCCAGCAGGACAGCAAATGAAAGCAAGATCCCTCCAGCTTTGGATCGTCATAGGGTCTGTTGAGCAATTCAGTGTGTTTATCTCATAATGATAGTGCAACCCTGAGGCTTGTCTCTGTTAGGGGCTCACCACTGCGGTGCCTGGCTATTACATCAGAATTGATGTTTGGACCCGTGGGGTCATGCTCCAGGAGGAGGGGAGGTGACAGTGCACCTTTGCGTTTGTCTCCCTTTATGCTTGCATTTTTGACCAGAGAAGTGCCAGAGCTCTGGGGTATACAGGGGAATTCAGGCTAAACAGAATGCCCAGAGCAGCTCTGTGCTTATCTTCTGTTAAAATCCTACAGATCTGGGATGGCACTGGTGACGTCTGTGCTTGCCTGTGTCTGTACATGCGTTGCATCTTGTGAATCAATGAGCATTTTCCAGCATGGGTAGCATGGAACAAAACATAATTATTTTTTTCTCTGCCTAATGATAGGCAAGGAAAAGCACTGCATTTGCCCATCACATGCTGATGTACCCTGGCTCAGGCATAAGCAGTGGATCTGCTTGCAGCACTGAGAAAACAGCATCCATCCCCTTTGCAGGTTCTCATCCCCAGCCTCAGTTTCCAACCTGGGAGCACCAGCAGGAGGGGATGGTGTCCTGGGTGGCTGCACAGCTGCACCGGTCACTTTTCATTGATGGGATGTACAGATGCTGGCATTACCTATGCAGTGGTGAATTCACATTGCACAGCAGTCCACGCAGTTGTGGTGATTCATGGGGAGCAGGAAAACCTACTCTTATCTTCAGGGAGAAAACTGCAGAGCTTCGGGTTTCAAAGCCCTCGCTTCAGTGGAATTACAGGTTCAAATCCTGAGAGGGTCAAACAAGGTCTTTCTTCCTCTGAGACAGATGGAGTGTCACACAGTAAATTGCCTATGATTCTCTTTGTTAGATGCTGTGTTACTTTGAAAACGGCATCATGACAAATCTTGGCTTTCTGCAAAATAAATAACTGCATCATTTATCAAAAAGGTTTGCTTTCAGAAATGTCGCCACTCTTTTAAGGCATTAGAGACTCTTGAGAATGAGAGAGACCAGAAGAGCACAAGATGCCACTTTTCTTTTCTTACTCCATTGTATTTGACATTTCACTTTTTTCTGCTTATTTGAAAAAGCCCCTGTGAGGAGTGATCCCTGGCTGTGGCATGTTCCAGCAGACGTGGTGGAATGTGACAGCAAGGAACACACGCTGCCTGAGCCTCCCTGGGGAGATGGGAGTAACAGTCATGCTCGCTTGGTGTCCTTGCTGCCTGCAGTCACCCTGCACAGGAGGAGCCCACTCCTGTCCCCACAGCAGCAGACATCGCCCATCAATGCTGCTCCCAGGTCTCTGGTAACAGAAGGTTCAGCTCCCTGGGACTGGCGGAGTCACAGCATCGGGACTGGTAAGTGGGGAATAACCAGCACGTTTCTGCCCCCTTAGCTGATAGGAAACATCCAAAGCAGTAGTGCCAGCTGGAGGTCCTCTGCTCATTTCGTACAAACCATCGCTGCAGAGCAGTATGCTTGGCTTTACAGTAGGTGTGTTGCACACAACACAGGTATGCTTTCCAACAAGGAGGCTGTCAGATGTGAAAGCTATTGCAGCCAAATTCCTTCTTAAGAGTTCCTCAGGAATAGCTGTCTGCAGAAAGTCTGGCAAGGCAGGGGAACAGCTTTGAAGCTTGGTATTTTTCTTCTAAAGATACCTCTGATGTTCAGCTATTTCCCACACTTATTCTTTGCCTAGAGTAGAATATAACATACCAGATGAAATGTTAAAAAAAAAATAAGCAACAAGTGTATTCAGCAAAATCAGCTGTAGTTTATTTTATAGGATGTGTAACAGTATCTTACTTTGTGCTTGACGCTGCAAAGGCTCCTGATGTCCAGCTAGCAGCTTAGAAATGTTTTTAAAGAGACAGATGAGGCAAGAGGCGTTGCAAGCTGCTGCTGTGTCTTCTGCTGGATGCCCTCAGTGCTTTTCGAACAGGCAGGGATTGGCATCCCCAGTTTACACACAGGAAAACAGAAATAAAAGAGTTTATGGCTCCTGTTTCCAAAAGCAGCCACTAGCTTTGTGTCTGTCTTTTTGATGCCAAACTGTGAGAGTTTTTAAAGTTCTGGCATGTGTGCAGAACAAAGACCAACTGTTCGCTGGTTTAACTGGTTTGACTTGTACACTGCTCTGCTGAAAAGGTGCCTTAGTGTGAAGTTTGCGTAGCACAGTGGAGAAGCAGATGTTCCCTTCATCCCTGTTGCCCATCAGGGCTGGATTTTAGAAGTGCCCCAGTCGAAGCCAACAGTGTTTGCACTGTCCAGCACTGCTGAGAGCTGGGCCAGGTGTTAGATCAAATGTCTGGTGCTGAGAGTGTAACATTTTTTCAGATGTGCTTCTCAGTGATTTTTTTCCAGACAGATGCGGGAAGTCTGTGGTAGAGCTGGGAACAGAGCCTGTTCCTGTGCTGCAGGAGGCTGTGTGTCTGACAAGACACAGGCGCAGCCCTGCAAAGTAAATGTTGTGATTTCATGGTGGGAGCTGCACGGCACCTGGCAGTTGCACCAGGGGATTTTTCCTGGTTCCCAGATTCACAGGGGTTTGCACCGTGGCTAAAATCTCAGAACCTCTGAAATTCAGCAGGGAGATGGCTGGTGCTTCATTTTGGGCCTATTGTGACAGGGCATCTTTCAAGAGAGTACTTGTGTGTTTGTGTGTGGTGTGGGCTGGGTGGGCAGCTCCCTGCTGCTCTGTCTTTTCCTTACTTGGATGTGTGCATCCTCCCACAGCACAGATTTTTCTGTCCTGCAGCTCTCATGAGTTCACATTCAAAAATTGCTTTCTCAAGACATTCTGTTTGTTAAAATGTGCTGTTTCCATAGGTTGCACCTGTTCTCAAGGATACCACCCAAGGGTAAACTCTTAGAGGGCACAAGCCAGCATCACAAGTGCAGTTTCCAATGGGAGATGCAGGCAGGTATATCTTTACCTGCAGCTCAGAGTATCTGCTCCATTCCCCTCTTCTGCAAGGAGCACCCAGTTCCTGCAGCAGAGAAGGGCCAGGGTCTCCAGAGCAGTGAGGCTGCAGCTGAGCTCCCTACAAAGAGGATTTAAAACCACATCTCAAACCCCCCTCTGCCAGAACAGGTCAGAAGTTGCAGATTTTCTTGAGTAACAGTCAGGCTTAATTTTCTCTTCATTTCTGTTTTTAAAAATGCTTATATTGTGCTGCCATTAGGTAAAGAGTGGAATTTTGGGCTTAAAAGCAGGTCTTATACTCTTTATTTAGTGGAAGACCTGGAGATTTTTTGTTGAAAATACTTCCATGGAAAGAGTTCACTGGTTAAAAGTATTTCGGCCATCTGCCATAGGAAGGAGTTGAAAACCTCTCAGACCTTTCCTGCTGTGAACACGCAGGATTTTCTCTAGCAAAAGGCTGAGTCTTTCACCTGTGGACGAAGGCTCCATTTTTTTGATCGATATCACTGTCACTGAAACATGTAAATGCAAAGGAGTTCGGGTGAAACTCTAACTGATATGCGGCAGGGAGCAATCGTGGGCTGGCAACAGGATGGAATCAGTGACCTAATCAACCATTTCCCCCTCTAATTGCAGTGATTCTACGGTTTAAAGAATTACACAATGTGTATTTTAGTTGGAACAAGACACTATTATTGAGTAAAGTGCATAATAATTGTGTTTCAGGAGGTGAAATAAATGTCGATCACCAGGCACTTTAATCCATCATTGTACTTTGCTAAATTACTTAAATTGCACTACATTCAATACTAAAATTACTTGTAATAAAGTGATTGCCGAACTGACACTCACAAAAAGATGTCTAGCACCTACATTTGTTTTCCTAATTGACAATTTTAGGCTTCATTCTAAGGAGGAGGAGTGCCCACAGCCTTCACTTCAGTTGATAGGAATGAAGGGCACGTAGACCCTGCAGAAGCATCCTTTAGCAATGAAGAATCCTGCCTGCATGAAGTACTTCCAACTTCCGTTAGCTTTCAAGCCCTTGCTTTGGTCACTGGGTAGGTCCATTTTGCCTGCATTTCCAGAAATATTAGGTTTTGGCACAAGGCTTCCTTGTAGTGATACTCCACTTGTTTATGTTGCTCTGCAACTTCTTCCTAAGCCATTCATAAATTAATATCCAATTTGCAGACTGAGATGGGTGATTTGGTTGAGGATCTATAACATGATCCTCAACCAAATGATCCAATCTTGCTCCTGAGTGGGGAGAAAGATGCATTCCTCCTGCTCAGTCTCCAGTGGGACTTTGGAGGCAGCTGTGACTTTTGCTGATTCTTTTTCCCACAGTCCTTCCGCTCTGCAGGATTTTAGTTGATAAAAAGTAAACATAAAGGGAACTCCTGGTTTCAGTTCCTAATATGACATTTCAGTTCAGCCTAGCTAGAGCTGTTTTTTTAATTCATGTAGTACTGCAAAGATGTTAACAAGCTGTATAATTAACTGATGCTGAGCTGAA